ATGGATAGGGTGGTCTGATTGCACAAATAAAAATGCGATTTCTCGATAACGCATAGCCAAAACAAACACATACGTTTCTCGTGTACTATTCGGTTTAATACTATATTTCAAATTATACTTTTTTTTATAAATAACAAATAAATATATTTTAGGAGTACTTGATAGAATCTAAAATGATCTATGTGACCTGTATTAATAAACTCGTCTACTACTCGGTCCCCAGAATAAAAAATGCCGAGCTCAACTTCATGTACTTATATTATTAAAAGAGGATTACGAAGAATAATGTCTACTTTCTTGTTAGAAATATCATAGAAAATACCGCAACACCAATCGACTAATATTGAAATAATGTAAGACTTAATTTTAAGCATTAGTTTAAGACATAAGTAAATGATTACCAACGAAAACAAACAACAAGCTTACGCAACAATAAGTTTGATTAACTCTTTTGACACTGATATGTAGGTAGGTACTTTATAAATGAAATATATTATAACCATTAAACGTTTCCGGATTACTCGAAAGCGTTTGATTTATACCTGGTTCCGTTCGATTGCGCCCGCGCACCGGTTGACGCCCCACCCTCGCCACATGTCATGGGAATCGATTACAATGACTGCGGACAGTTCGATCGATTGTAAATCGACTAATGATTATTGTTAGTTTTTTAGGGTATTGCCTTAACATAAGTTGGAATTAAACTTAATTCAATTTTGTCCATAATAATTATAGTATCTCCTTCCATAAAGAAAACTACTTTAATAAGTATAGAATCGACACTCATCGATCTAAAATAAACACCTACTAAATAACATCAGCAGACTACAGAACTACAGTCCAATTGAGTGACTTTTTTAAAATTAGTTGAAAATTGACATTTACTTAATAAAACTTTACTCAACTGCATTTGGGATAAAAAATAGTGTTTAAAACATTACACAACATTTTTATTCCAAATAAAAAAAAACACTTCAAGCTGTCGAGAGATATCACGATTAAAAACTATTATGAAATAAATATAGATAATAATTAGGTATATACCTATTCTTATTTTTTTTTACTTTGGGACAAATCAATGGCCTACCGCATCTTATGAATCTGGTAAAAATAATCACTTAAATTGAGAATATATTGATAAAAAATCTACAACTATGTAATGTGAGAATAAACATACAAAAAGATCATATCGTCAGAACAAAATGTAATTAGTCTTTTTTAAACCACACATCTCTACACACAATGCATGACACTTATCTCTGTGCTGTTTATCTCATAACTTGTCTTCGTTAACATTTTATCAGGTCTTGAGGTGTGGTAATATACAAGTGCATACCTAGCGGAAAATTGTTAAATTACGGCTTTTTCTCGGTATTAGTTAATGTTATGTTTAAGGTGGGAAGTTCGCGTGTGGCATCCACCGGAGCGTTAACAATAACTACCAGACTACCAGGGTCGGATAAGATACGAGGAGTAATGTCCGATGCACTTGTGTTCACACCTACAGACGCAGAAAACGTAATGTATGCACACATAAAGTCAAATTATGTTTTGGTTAGCAATTAATTTAAAAAAATTAAGATATTATAGCAACAGTAAGCATATTACTTACTGTAGGTAAATTCGCTTGCTAGTTTGATTTCCAGTCGGGACAATTTACGAAACTACATGTTCCTAGTGAATTTATCACGAGGGTTTCCTGTAGGAACCGCGTGATGGCCAATCTGACATTGCTAACCCTATAAGGGTTATTAATCCACATTATGAACAATCCCCTTCCCTCTTATGTAATATAGTTTAAAACTAATTACTATTAGAGATTGGTTCTTTATAAATTATAATTTCCATTACTGATAGTGTTAATATTCTTTCACGCAGCACAAAAACTACTGACTAGTTCGTGTTTTTTTATCTTGAATATATCTCTAATCAACTAAGCTGCTCTTTGATATAGGTAGGTACACGGGAATTATAGATAGTGTGAGTACCGGGTCTACGAAGTTACAGAATTTACCTATAAGTGACTTCAATTTTGACTCATTATTACATATTATTTACAATTATGCATAAAATTAATTATACATAGACATATTTATTTCTCTGAATCCGCAACAAATTAATTCATTTCGTATAATAAAATACCCACTTTAAATGTATCAAACCTCACCACCACTTATTATTTTATAATTTGACCACAGCGTACGCTAATTACTTCGTAATATAAAAGAAAACCGTGACAAAGTACCAGTATTTAATAGATACCCAAGAGTCATAATAAATCGCCGGTTGATATAAAAATGGCGTTTCTAGATCAATCGCAGGATAAAAAACTCACGGGACGTAAAGAAATTACAAGTATAATGATCGGTTGTCGCACAAATGACAACTTTATTAATCAGTCAGTGTGACCGAGGTGTCTCCCTCGAGGTGTATCTTGTTATTCCAAGTCATGGTGCGTAGCTGCAAGTGAGTTCCTAATTATACATTTTCCTATAATTATTTCGTAGTCAACGGAAGTCTTTTGTGAGTTTATTGTTCTTAAGTGTGTGAAATAGGTCTATACAAAATAAAGCAGACCAGTAACGTTGGAATATTAAATGACTATATTTTGTTAGCCCCAATTCGATATTTGCAAATGGTCAATTGGATAGGTATAGATTCAATAATACGCCACTCAAAAAGAAATGTGTACAGGTATTTATATTATCATATCTACATATAAAAAGTCCCATAAACTCTAAACAAACATTTATATTAGAAGAATCGAGGGTCTAATACTTTTTTATATTATTATGGATACATTTATCTGTCTACGTAATGATATAGATAGATAATTTATAAAATAATAATTCATTACGACAGCATCACCTAATAAACCTCACCTCACGTAAAATGTAAGTAGGTAAATCAAGATGTCCACTCGAAAGCAGTTGGGCTACTACAATTGATTCATTTAGTGCTTTCAAGAAAGTAATTCTAAGAAACAATCATTAGACACAGGTAGAGCAATAGCATCTGTCAAACTTTATATCCCTTAAACTCAATACTACTAGTGAACTTTTTATTATCACAAACAATGTAGAAAACTCTCTATAAACCGATTATATTAAGGATTAACGACACTACTAGCAAACTGAACTGAATTCAATCACCTACTTTACATGAGTGCAAAACATTCTCATCTCGTGATAAAACTCAATAAATAATAGAGATAAACCCAACAAACAATATCTACTGTGTCGAGTACTGTATTCGAATATTATTATCGATAATACTCGCACATCTCGAATTCTCATGACTTCTTCAATGTACAAATTAATCGTTAGAAACAACTCAGCGGCGTATCGAGACACGTTTTTGCGATACCCATATAATGACGTGCTAACTACAATTTCCGTGTAAATTCAATTGTTCAATGCACTGACATGGCAAATTGCTCGATAAATGACTCTTTGATCCTTGCTTTCTCATGTTTTTGCTTCAAGGCATAGTAAGGTTAGGCCCCATTCACAGACTATAAACTTTACAGACCAAATTAGACCAGAATCACTATGCAACTAAACTAGTAACAAGTTGCAATACCGCATAGCACTATCCAAATGTATCATAAAAAAAATGGATGGATTATATAGGATTAGTCAGAAAGGGTATGGTCACCTGTTACCTCAATAGGTAATAACTAATATACCTATGCCCACGTAGTATTATTTTTTAAAGCAATTTTGGGTGACCTTTGTTATCTTCTATACCAGAAGTCACCCGAACTAGACTCTGAATACTCCTCTGCGTGGATACCTTAGTGCCATCTATTTCAGTCGTCAAGCAGAGTGCTCTGTAAGCTGTGTCGATTATAGGAATTAGGCAGTAAAATTAAAGACATGCTATATGTCATGCCTCTTATCCATATCCGAGTCCACTGGAATGGCCATGATAACGTGATGTCCGTAATCATTACATGTATTATTATTAATATTGCACGAAGGTTATCGCTTACAATCAGCGATATCAGGTCACATAAAATACAGCACAGACGCAGGATCAGCAGTACATAAAAAAATTGAATCAATTACCATTGACATAAGCCAGAACAGAAGTCCTTAAGTATAATTATTGCTTAATTTCATTATTTGTCTCATACATGAATTGCCATTATGTCTATCTGTCTTCATTAGACAGATAATGCACAATCACTGTGGTAAAATAAGCCTGGGCTCCGCACCCGGTATGGACGCAGGGCGTCCATCCAACTTTCGCATTGAATATTCGTTTCGTTAGTTTTGCATGAAAAATAATAAAGGTGTATAGTGTACAGGTTGAAATTTTTTTGTATGTAGTATTTAATATTTATGACAGAACGGCTTAAATATAGAACTTCGCTAGCCATGTATTTTATCAGAGTTGACAATCTCTGCCTGGAATGGAACTAGAAACCGATGTTAACTTGCTGCATAGTCGCTTAACGTATAAGATTAAGATGATGAGTTATAAAAGTTCCAAAATATTCCTTATAATCCGAATGGTTGGTATCTGTACCCATTAGGAGCTGTGTAATGAATAATAACAACAATATTCATATTAGTTGTCTACCTAATTTTTCAAACCGTGTCTTATGAAAATATCTAAATAGGAGCAATTTCTGAAGTAACGCATTAATTTACATCCGTACGGCAATTCATTTTTATTTTATAGATTGCACTGGCCTGATATAGTAACTTAAAACTATGTTAACCAGGAATTTAAAACCCACTAAATCTCTTGTTGTAAATCATAACATCAGCGTTATAGTTATTTTTTATTTTATACGCTACGTTTTATACGTCTTTTATTTTATATATTATTTATACGTTGTACTCGTATGCTATGATCGTGTAAACCGACCATACGAAATCGTTTGACGTTTCACATTGATAGTATTTTGACAATTTTGACAGCTCCAAGAATTTAGAGTTAGGTTAACTGTCAATTGACAACAACAGCTACTAATTATAATAATTATAAACAAACATTTTAAAATCAACTTTCTTTTATAATAATATTAATATAATAATGTGTGTACAAAGTTTTAGTACTTATTAAGTGACTTTAAAATTAAAAAAGAACTGTTCAAAAGTGCACTATTCTATTATTATTACCGGGTACAAAATACACGCGGGAAATTTTGTTATCATTAAAATATTGAGAGTTAATCAAAATAAACTATGTCTACACCTTGCGAACTTTCTGAGGATGAAGACCCTATCCAAGAAGCTCTTATTTTCGAACAAAATATGTCTGAAGACACAGTTTTGATAAGCAGTGATGATGATTCATTAAGTGCCACAACTTTCGACGAAAATGAAAGTATTAAAATTGAAAACGATCTTCCAAATGTGAATATAAAAAAAACGAGATCTGATGTCATTAAAATTTTATTCCCGAATAGTAGTAATAATAAAGAAAATATTGTAACTAGTGTAATTAATAAGGTACATCATAGACCTTCACAAAAAAAACTAGACGATGTTAAAAATATCTCTTCTAGTCCTAAAAAACCCGAAGAAATATCACCAGGCATTAACAGGATGATAGAAGGCATCACAGTGAACTTGCCAGTCAAACCTTATGGATGTCAAGTGGCTTTAATGTCCAAGGTGCAGTATTTTTATTATTATTATTAGATCAATAGCATTATTTAATATATATACCGCCACAACTGTCTCAGATGGGATGGCCACAGGTCTACTATTGATATTGTGGTGATCGCAATACTTGATATGTATATTTTGCTTGGTATATTTTTAATCAAAGTGACAATGGGTGAGCCTACTACCAAATTATGTATTTTCTTTTGTATATAATTGACAATTCAAAAATATACAAAATATGAAATAATTCATGAAATAAAACTTATTAATCTTTTCTTATTTATTTAATTAATTCATTAGCACTTTATGATTTTTCAGTAATGTTTACTGTTATAAACTAAACTGGGTAAAACAGGAGTTAATAAGCAGTTAAATACAACAGTAGTACAATAGAAAGTCCAGAATTAACCAATAATATACTTTATTCACATAAACATAATGTTACACTTCAATGCAATGTTTTATTCTATATATTCACAGAGCAGGTTCACCGTAAAAGATGGGCAAGACACTTGGTGTATGCTCTTTTGTAAACAATAATTGTTGTTGTACCAGGCACATATACTTATAAAAAATGAAACAAAAAATTAGGATTAAAACAGTAATTAGTATTTTTAAATTAATTAGTTTAGCCCCTATACCAATGATATAAAGGATTATAATATGTCTTTAGACATTTAATTTGTAATACTTCAACAAAATTCATTATCTCGATTTTAAATCTGGGTGGTCGATTTTAAAACAATAAACAATATTGTTTTACTTTTTTTAGTCTGTGTGCAATAAAATGTAAAGTTGGGGAATGGGATTAGTAATGTAAATTAATAACAGCATTGCTTGCATTGTACTAAGTCTGGTTGACATCCATGTGGTGCCCTCTGGAAACCATCGTAATAAATTTCTGATGAATTTACCACTATGGGCTAACTAATAAAAATATTTATTTATTATAAATATTATACACCCTTTTATTTGGGTTGGTCAGTATAATATGTTTTTATTGTGTATTCATTATATAATATTTTGTAATATGTATATATTATACAAATTTAGTTATAAAGGTATACCAAGCCAAAAGCCTTTGTCTCATCAATGTATTACCATAGTTTTATAATTATATTTAGAGATTTCCACTGACTTTTTAAATTAAAGTCATTCAGTTTTGTGTATACTTTACATGGCTATTAGCATAACCTGTATATCTAACCATGGGATTCAATTATTACAAACAAGAAGCTTGTTTTCATCTCTTACTACCGGAGATTATTAGAGTTTACAATTGGTATATTAAATGTTAATGTTGTAACCTTAGAACTATGGTAATGCAATGAGTAATGGAATGAGTCAGTAAATAAATCTATTTGTCAATTGATTTTATCAATCAAGTTACTAATTTCATCATAAATATTATTGAGTAACTCTGAATTGAAATTCCAGTCAATTAGATATTACAATACTTAATGAAGGACAAATATAGATAAGCAGACTATAGGCAGTTGCTATAGACTTATCTGTGGACATGTACAGTGTTAAATATAAATATGCATATATTATATATCACAATAATCTTGTCACATCAATTTCTGTCTGATTACTTTCTTCAGTCCTATTTTGAAATTTCAGATCATAATCTCGAAACTACACAAACTTTATAAATAACCTATTTCAACATATATTAATTTAACATATGTTTCCAATATTGAAATTTAAATATTTTAAATCTCTTTAAGACCAAGAAGGATAGACATTCCACTCATACTGTCATAAAAACCACAATGACTTGGTCATGACTGTATGACTTAAGAATAAGAGGATAAAAAGAAAGAAGAAAGAAAATATTATGCTTATTTGATACACATACGTGTAGATATTTAATTTTGTTGCAATTCTTTCCTCTGCTTTTATCATATTATATTGGTTCTGAAGACTAAACCACAGTGATAATACTAATAGGATTAATTAACAAGGCTAACCAAATAAATGGGCCAAAGATAAATTGAATATACTTATTTATTATTATATATCTATATTTTTCGTTTTTAGATGATAACAGCTATAAAGAAAAATCAAAACTGCCTGTTAGAGAGCCCCACGGGTACAGGAAAAACACTGGCGTTATTATGCAGTGCTTTAGCTTGGCAAAGAGCAGAGAGAAGTAAGTAATTGTAATATCTTATTTTTTTATAGACTAATTAGTGTTCTAGGTAAACACCTCGACTTCAAACCTCTAAACCTTGAGAGGCCATGTTTTGCCAGCAAAATGGTCAAATGCGTCGACCCATCTTACGGTAATATACGATGTGCTATGCTGATAGTATGAGCGTCTAACAATCCCCTCGATGCTACTAAATATAATAATATTGGGGGGAGGGGATGTTAATAGTGTGGACTAATAACCCCACTGTTGATCTTCACTTGGTTCCCTGGAAAATATTGTGATAAATTCCTGGTAAATTTACCACAATTGGCTAAGTGACCAACTTATCATCCTCCACTGATGCACCGCTAGCAAAAATAGTTAGCGCAGGTAGGTGCACTATTCCATTACCATCCATAAGAATAAAATATATATTAAGTTTATTTGTATAGATTCTTTGAAGCTATATAATATAGGTTCGACGCCCTCGGTAGTACTTCACACCGCCGTACTTCCGATAGTCGTGGATTTGATTTGGCCTCGCCTGGCACAAATATAATATTTACGAAAGAAAGTCTATGTATTTATCACTTATCTAGTACCCATAACACAAGCTTGAGGTAGCTTAACTTGGGTCTAGATGGCGCTGTGTAAATTGTCCTGACATTATTATTACTATAGGTATATATAGGTTTACAACAAAGTGCTAGTCATCGTCAACCGATTTTCCTAACCGAGGTCACAATTTTCAATATCCTCTAATCATTCTTATAATGGTTGTTGGGTTGGACCTATACAATTAAGCTTATCTGATAACAGTCACACAATTTTTTAATCGAATCCTAAAACTTTGTGCTCATAAGTCTCCACGAAGCGAGCAGGTGAGTTAGTGACTGGAATTTTGGGGAAGATATTATAAGGAATTTTAGTAAGTAAGAATAGTGGCATTATGGTTTGATTATTTTTAATAGACCAATGATGACAGTTTTTGCAATTCTTTAATGATGCGATGACTTAAATAGTGTTTTGGCGTTTTCAGAAATTAATATTAATTACCGGTTTTTATAGATTACACTAAAATAATGTGTAACTGTTTATTTAATACGTATGATAATATTTATCATACGTATTAAATAAACAGTTACAGGATTGTAGTAGATATCAAAATTAAAATTATATAGATTTCACTAAAACACAAATTAACTGCCTCATTTATAAAATAAAACGCACCATAATATGATGAACGTGGTTTCGTATCCATTCTTCGTTGCTAAATCTGTATTCTGAATAAAAGTTATAAAAAATACGTCCCTGGTTTATTATTAAAAGGTATAGAAAACAGGCCATTTTGTGGGCATAACAAGTAGAAAGCGCCAATTGATCACAAGTGTTCGCGTGATGCGTGCCTACTTATAAATCATACAAGACTGTCGCCCGACAAGGCAACAGCCTAACACGAAAATTGCGCTTCGCCAATACAGAATGCATTTATAGCATGCAACCAGCTGCATTTGATATGTACGAAACTGATATTTGTTGAGAATTCCTTTGTACAATGCAAGTTTTGCAATCAATATTATTTATTAGCGAATGATGGCAAACATTGTGAATGTGCATTTTTTATATGTGTATTTTAGGCTATATAAATTTTACTTATTTTTAATTATTCTTTAATATTTACTTTGCGTACTTGTAACCTAATACAGATATATGTTGTAGATAGATCCGAAGAAATTATGTTCAAATTTTAATGTTTCGTGAATTGAATTTATAAACTAAAAGAAACACCTTATTTATGGATCAAATAATAATATTAAATTTTTTAAGAGATGCTAATCTTTTATGTGTTATACATTTATTAAAATAATCCTAAATTTCTTGTTTTTTTTTGTAATAAATTCCTATATTTATTAATCAATATCTTACTAATATTATAAACGCGAAAGTTTCTGAGTATGGATGGATGTTTGTTCCTCTTTCACGCAAAAACTACTAAACCGATTTTCATGAAATAATAATTAGGTATAAGCTATATTACTATTTAAATTCAAAATATTTAGATAGATACTAAACAATCTGTACTTTGAAGTACTGAAGTTGTTCCTTTACATAATACCTATTACCCATATAAAACATCACTTGACTACATCAATTTAAATTTTCACATACAAATCTATGAAGTTTGTCCTGACAACATTTTAATGCGGGTTTACACCGAAACTAGTGCACACTCGAGCAGACGACGGCCAGTAAAATATTTCGTCACGAACGAGTTCGCCAACTCAATAAATTACGTCATTACTTTACAAATTCGGAATATTAGGAACTCGACGAATTTCGCAATCGGGCCGATGCGAACTTAATTTCGTGAACCATATTGTGCAATTAAGGATGTCGATTTTCTGCAATTGAGAAATAGGATCAATGATCATGTGTCTAATAAACTCATCTAGTGATTCAATAATAGCCGAAGTTTGAAAGTAGAGACTGTGGTCGGGTGTGTACATCTTCTAACATTATATAAAACATAAAAATATTATATAATTCAGTCGCGAATAATTTTCTCAGTTGTTCAATGAATTTGAATTTGGGTATAGTTATTGCAACTAATATGTCTAGAGTTCTAATTTCTGAAAATACTTTAAATATTTTAAAATCTACATTCTTTTTTAATTAGTACGTAATAACCGATATTAGCCCATTCTTCTCGTATTCTATATAACAGAGTGATGGAACGGATGTACTGTTGTGATAACAGCATATAATTTTTGTATATCAGAAAAATAAATTGCGAGACAAATAAATTCATGGGTTATTTCTTTTAATTTTAGCATATAATGTATGTAAGTTCGTAAATTATTCAATAATAAGCAATTAATTCAATAATCAAATCGATTACAATACAAAACAATTGGAAGTTTCTACTTTACGATACATATCGATGCTAGAAATGTTTGTGTAATGGTTCGTTACCACAATTATTTTACACCCGTCCCTTTTTGTGCTCAGTAACGAATTATTGGCCGTCAATTATAGGCTTCTTGATACACGGAGCATTCATTAGAATTCTAGGAACGTTTCCTATTTAACGATAACTCGTGCGTATGTAATTCTTTGATGATGTGATGTTCATAACCTTGCATGTCCTGCATATCTTATTCCCACAGTTATACCATTTTTTTACCAAATAACATACTTTACTTAACTAACTTACATAGTCCATGTGTGCTAAAGTCACTTTCGTTCATAATATTAGGATGTTTTGTACTTTGATCACTACGACAATACATCTGGATGAATGGCAGTCCTCCACCACGCACAATCACATTGTGGAATCACCTTCCAGCAATGGTATTTCCGACCCAATATGATAGTTAAACCTTCAATAAAAGAGCTTATTCCTTCTTAAAAGACCTTAGAAGACCTGGCAACACACTTGCAATTTCCCTGGTGTTGCGGGTTCTTATGGGCGGCGGTGTTCACTTACCTTCAGGTGAGCCGCAAGCTCGTTTGTCCCCTATGCTATAATTTCTTTTAAATAATAATATACTTGTATAAAAACGAAAGTACTCAGTATCAAATCCAATCAGTATTGTGTGTATATTTTTTTTCTTATACTACGTAAGTGGCAAATAAGCATACGGACCATATGATGGTAAACGGTTACCGTAGTCAATAGATATGTATATCCCTAAAATACCGATATGTTTCAATTGATGACAAAAAAATGTTATTTGATAAGCAAAATGAAACAGTAGAATATGGGAGTATAGATACTTTGAGGATCGTATGAGTATTATCGAATAGTTATTTGAGTACTGCACGATGATTAGGTATCTGAATATTCCCTACTGCTTATAGTTTTGATTCTCACAACCTGTTGATTAGACGCTTCATGATAATAGGTGTACGTATCAAAATACACCATCGTGTACTTAGACTTCATAATATCCAGTTCTATATTGAACAAAAACACCAATTGAGTTGACAGCTGTCGCAACCACTATCTGGAAGTGGGTGTTGTAATTGCTAATCATTTGCCACAGTTAATGACTAAAGACATCACAGTTGCACCTTTCTGAGACCTAGTTGGTTTAATAATCGGCACATTTGCATTAAACTGTAAAGCGGTAGTCGTATTAGGTAGTACTTACGTTACTGTTAATTATTGTCAAACAGTGGCTACTTCCAATTTATTTTATAGGACTACTGTATAAGTACCAGGAATTTTATAATATAAGTATGATAATCAAGCGCCAACACTCTTTATCTTTACATACGTGTTTTTAATAGTATCTGGTCCCATATTGCTAGTAATCTAAGGTTAAGCCATAAGCAGCGGTTCGGTGATGATCCAATGAATCTTATGAAGAAGCATCCGCTGCTTATTGTTTGTCCATTTTATATATATGAAATACAGAATCATAATAGTTCTTAATGACTATGTGTGTGCATTATTTCTCTCAACTTGTCGTTGTAAACGCGGCAAAGTCTTATTTTATTGCAATAAAAAAAATGTTGTGTCAATTTATATTTCTGACTGATTGGTTTGTTGTCGGTGATGGAAATACCGATAAGACATCAAATTAAATTCAAATGAACCGAGTCATTAATATTATATTCAGCAAATAGCCTTAATGCAACCATGACTAAATGCAATAGCAAATGTAGTATGAAATAGCTAACAAAAACAAAGCTTTTAAAAACCAACAAAAGAAACTATATAATTACACTTAGACACAACTTTGGTGACTTTCTAAACCCAGACGACATTTGGTGAGAAACGTCGACCGCTAACCGTATGGTTTTGGCATCTAGCGTTTTGGCCCGGAGCGTTTTTGGTCACGAAAATTTCGCGCCCAATTTTCTTCGTGTCAGCCAAATTGACGTCTCAATCGCGGGAAAACTCAGCTTGGTGACTTGCAATCAGAAACTCACGGAATAAACCTTATTTTCTTAAACGAACTTTTAGTTGAATCAATATTTCACTTAAACAAAAAATAGAACTTACATATTCA